CCCGGTGACGTAAAAACCGGGTGTATACGCGGAATACCCGTGTACGTTTATCAACGCCCTTTTTGAAATTGTGGATTTTTTGAAACCTGTTGATTAGATAATCATGGATTTGGTCTTATTTGATACCCCCTTTTTTCTGTTTTTTAAATCCATTTTGATTTTAGCTAAACTTTTATTTGGAAATCCTCCAATTGAAAATTGTGGATTTTATGATTTCTAATCAATGGGTTTTAAAGATGGATTTCACTATATTTGCCTAATGTATGAAGGTACATTTTGGTAGAAATGAATCAGAACATTTAAGAAGATTATCACCTGAATGAGCAATCCTTCTCACAGATTCATCCAAAATTCTTCTTCAAAGCTAGAGCAGATTGGAAAGCTTCAAAAATAAAATACCACTATCAGATAAAATTAAAAGAAAATGATTGATATTGATGGGAGGGAGGGGAAATATGGAAATGATGCTTGCACCACAGCAATCCACCCTCAAAGATATCAAAAATAAAATAAAAGTTGTTAAATCTCAATATGGCTGAAGTGAAAATGATGTTGCCCCACAGTACCAGCCTCTAGATGAACATTGGTTGGAGAATAGATGGAGAGAAGGGGAAGAAAAAATGAGTAAAATTGATGAGTAACATTTAATGATCATGGTTGATGGTCATCATCAAGGTCTTAATTCAAATAATTATATATAGCAGGAATAGAAATTTACTTGCCTGATTTCAAACGTGATCAACTGGCTGCATATAGATTCAGCTGCAGCTGAGATCTGGAGCACACAAAGCCCAATTGACCCCATTTGGAGTCAGAAAGATGGAATTTTAGGTCAAAATATTCCAATGAGATTCCCAGTGCATCATCACCTACCACACCAAATTTGAGGATAGAAGAAAAATTAGGATGAAAGAAAAAAAAAAGAAAAAAGAAAAGAAAAAGAAGCAAAAAAAAAAGGAACAATACAGCTCATATTCAAGATAGACATTGTGCTGAATCTAGTTTCTTTGCTCTGATAAATATTTTTTTGAGAAATGATTTTACTCCAGGTGACCTAGACACTACATGGTGGTTTATGTAATACATAATATTTTTATATTTATGCTAATATTTATTTCATTTTTCCACACAAACTTTATGTTTTGATTGGAATCAATTTTGTATTTTTTCATTCAACTCAGATGATAGCTATTTGGTGCAATTTTTGAATCATGCTGTAAATTTTTTAATTATGTTCTTTTGAATGCTTCCTTGATGTGAGTGTCAAGCCTTTGGGAAACAAGGTTTACAGGGACTACCAAGGATTGAATAATTGGGTTTTTTTAATTATTGTGTGGTTTTTGTAATTCAAGCCAAGAAGGGAAAAAGACTAATTATAAGTGTGAATTGATTAAGTAAGCATGATATCAATTATTCTTAGAGTTGGAAATTGAATCTTCAACATATTACTGCACACAGGCAAAAACCTTTCCATTGATGTAAAAAATATGCATAACAAGGTTCTTTTGTTGAATTTTGTGATTAAAATTTCTTTTTTCCATAGTTTTTAGAGAAAATTATCAATATTCTCTCTTTCATGATTTCAAAAATTTGACCTGATACTCCCATTTTTCTTCAATTAGTTTGGGACTGATTGGAATACAATTCAGATTAATCAATTATAGTTCAGATTGATTTCTAGTTAAATTATGATTAACAATATACACATGAATCCAACAATGATTCAGATATACTTCATATTTATTTCAAATCTCCTTCATGTAAAGCTTCATAATACCTGCAGAAAGGTTCTATAAAAACCATGAATTATGGAATTATGTGGAAGTGCCATGAATAGTCCCTTGTTGCATATAATTACATTTTTTCTTCTTTTCTGAAGATATGAAAATCCCCACCTCATAGAGTGTTTTTGAGCAGCCTTTCCTGATGTGCACCTAAACTGAATTCAAGTCTGTGGCCTCAAACAAGTAGCAAAAGTAGATAGTAAGGCTTTTTTCAAGAAATATAAAATGAAAATTAGTTCAAAACAATGTGACAATTCCCTGGGGAAAGAAGGCTTAATCTGCTAGAGCCACAGGCAAGAATTTTGGATTATACCCCTCCCTGATCTCCTTTATAGAGGCATTGTGGAGTATTTGCAGGTGTGGAGGCAGTTTCAAAGCTCAGCTTCTGGGGTGCGGCTCTGAAGTTCTGATGGAAAGCTGAGGGGTGATGGCAGAGAGAGACAGCAGAGATCAAGTGGGTGGAAAGGCGGAAGCAATTGTTAGGTGATTCCAGGGGCTTTAGTGGGTGTTGAAGGAGGGTTGGGTAGAAAAGATTTTCTGTGGGGAAATACAGACCTGACTTGGGAGTCCAAGGGGTTTGGTATTGGGCAGCGGGGGCCTTGGCAAGAAGGCCTAGGCAGGGGCAACTGAATCGGGCTGGTGTGGCAAAGAGTGGGAATCAATAGCGGCAAGGGTGCGGGAATCAATGGAATGCGGGTAGCATGGAGGGCGGGGGGGAACTGTTTTATCTATCACACAGTTTTTCTTTCCGCATTGTCAATCTCAGATTTTCAAATAAAGAATCCCCATAACCTGATTCATTTCCTTCAATAAACCCATGAACCTATTCTAAGCTCACCCAGCCAGCATGCAACAATGTCAGAAAGCTGAGGGGAATGACAAGTCTTTATCCCGGTCGCTGACATGCCTTAGTAGCTCAGTGGTAGAGCGTTTGCCTAGTATCACGGGTCATACCCCGATGCCAGCAAAAGGTCCAGTGTTCGACTCACTGTTGAGGCAACACTTTTGTGCTCAATTGCCCTTGCTTTTGCCACTTGACCGGGCAATACGGATGCCCACAAAGACAGTGAGGGTGTCTCCTTCTCGAGATGGCCGTAGTGGCGATCGAGACGCTCGAATGATAATTGGTTGTTAGTTTTCCATCATGTGCTTTTGTGGTGATCCGCCTACCATTTGCCTTTTATGATATCACCCACCAAAGTGCTCCCTACCCACCAAGGCCGAAGAAGAACAAAAAAAGGGTGCGACATGAATGGCCTTCTTGTTTTGTTTTTAAGTTGTTGGTGATTGCTAATAATAGTATGTTGTCTTTGTTTTTTTTTTGTTCTTGATGAGGATGAGACGATGAGAATGATGGCTGTGACGACACAAAAAAGAGACAACAAGCTAGGGAATGTTTCTGCTGGGGATGAAAGGGGGAGCCAAGAAGGGACGAGGGGTAGTCAAGGAGCCTGATTGGTGTGATTATTCGGGGTCGAGGTGCGAATCTGGAGAAGCAGCGAGGATGAAGAGACGAAGGGAGGGGAGACGGGGCGAGGTCAACAGAAAGACAGCGATGAGTGAGCGTACATGCATGAAGAAGTGTCGAGTTTTGACAGAAGACAGAGGATGGAGGGATGGAAGTACGGACGAACCTGCAGCCCATGGATTCGTGGGATCTCTAAGGCGAGCGTTGCGTGGATCATCTGGTGCTGCTTGATCTGGTTCAAGCCGGCAAACGCTATGTCCACTACCTCTACTTGGAAGAACGACCCGCATCCGCCTGTCCTTCCACAAAAAAAGAATGATTAAGAATCTTTTACTTTTTTTAGAGAGTCAGGAAGAGCGGGACGGGGATCCAAGCCGAGACGAGACCAAAAAAAAAAAGGCAAGCCAGGAGACCGGAAGATACCAGAGACATCGTGGACGTAAATGCGGGCGGCGTTGGGAAACCTGCGTGCGAGTTTCTGAGCGATCGATTGTTCGGAGACGACGGGTTGGGCAGATGCAGATTCAGGAGCACTAGTTGCAACGGAAGAAGAAGAAGAAGCGCGATGAGGAGCCCCGACGAGCAGGGCCGACGACGACGGCGGCGGCGGCGGAGGCAGATGGGCTAGGAGCGACGGACGGCCAGCTGCTCGACGGTTCCGGGGACCTCTGACTCCTCCGCCGCCGCCGCGCATCATCACCGCCAGGGAGAACTGTCGTCGTAGGATCATCTTGTCTCCACTGTCTTGTTGATCACTTGCTGCTCGTGGTGCTCGCTTCCCTCGTTCCTCCGCATCCTGCCATCTTCGTCTCGTGTTCGGGTGTACTTCAAAGCGTCGCGGGGGGTTTCAAACCCCCGAACCTCCTACAGTGCCCAATGGTCAACTACCGGTCAGCTGCAAAAATAAAATAAAACTTTGTCTTTTTCTATTTCATTCTTTTTTTTTTTTAAAAAAAAAAAAAACAAGATTTCAAGCCACTCTGCAACACATTCAAAGGAAGATAAGCAACATGGATTGACATTCCATATTATGCAACTTATTCCTTCACCATAAGTTGCAGATATTGGGACAGAGAGCATCAAGTGCTTGTTCAGCTGAACCAGAAATGTTAACCAGGGAGGGCTTCAAGTTAGAGAAAATCCACAATAAAAATATTTATGTACCATATCCCACCGGTGGTCACAAAATGTGATTTTGTTTTTTTGCTTTGTTTTGGTTTGTGGTTTTTGAAGGGAAAATATGTGGACTCTCTCTTGACCACTGGTTGTAAGGCCTAGCTTAAACCAAGCCCCTCCTAATTCAATGGTCCTGGTATGGCCTGGCGCAAGTGTCACTTCAAAAAAAAACTTTTTCAACTGCTTACAGTTGACATGCAGAAAGTCCTGTGAAGCTTCTGTTGTTACTCCAGACTTTCTCCAAGATTGATGTAACCGAGCTTTGTTGCACATTAACTGTGCAGACAAGTGACTATTCCAAAACATCTACAAATTCAAACAGGTGGAGTTTGGATGGTAGCTTGGCTGGAGCATGCTGCATGTCAATTGCAGGCAGTTGAGCAAGTTTTCTTTTGAAGTGTGCCACTCATAAAGCAAGCATTCAAAGGAGGGGATTACCACCTAAGGTAGAAATTCTTATTTTTTCTTTTGAGGTTTTCTACATTATTGTATCTGTTTTGGTTTTGATCCCTTTTTTTATAAGCTTATTTGAATCAAAAAAAAAAAAAAATCATCATGCTAATCAAAAACATGTAAAATTATAAAATAAATAATGTTGGAAACACAGTAAAAAAAAAGAAACTATTTTGGAAGGCAGAGGACCCCAGGTATAGATTAGGATATTATGTGGGCAGCCTAGGGGTTTGGAAATCCAGGTTATTATTGAGATCCAGGAGCCTGCTCATTTTAGTGGCTTGGGGGGAGATGGTTAACCAGCCAGGCAGGATTTGAAATTTGTAGTGGAGAACTAGGGATGTGCCATCTGGCTGCATTGATATTAGAAAAAAAAGATATGATTTGAATTTTACACCTTTGAAACAAAAACTTATGTCCTTGATTTCCAAAACATTTTTTCTTATGCCAAAATGAGTTAAATTTGTGAGAAACAAAGACCAATTTCATTTATCAGGACATGAACAAGACTGAGAGAAAAATCTTCATACAAGCTTCTTCACACAAGAGGAAAAAATCAATTAGTCTGATGAATTTTGATTTATCTAAGAGCAGAGATGATGTCTGATTCTCATGCTCTGATCTTGGAAAGGTGATGGGATAAATGAGCTTGGTGGAAAAGGAAACAGGTGGAAACAAGAGAGATTGGAAAGATTTATGGGATCAAGGATCTAGTTTTAGCCTCAACTCATGAACCAAGCATGTGGCTAGATTAGGTAGACAAATCTTTCTGGCTGAACGTTTTGTCTTTACTCAAATTAGGCTAGTTGTGCTTGTGAGCTACTGGTGGTTGATGGCTGGGTCTTGTTCTTGGATGCACTATTGATGAAAAAATTCACCATCAGGTAGTGTTCTAATCTCTGTGAGTCTGAGGCTACTGCACATGCTGCACGGTTGGTAGCTTAGGCGGGTGGCTAATTTGGCTAGAGGAGGGAAAAAATTGTCTAAAGTGAGGGAGGACCTCTGAATCAGTTGGGGCTTACATTGCCTAAATGGGGGTGCTTTAATTACTCACCCATCTTGTCATTGGGAATGGTCATCCTCTATTCCTTTCATTTTGGATCTCTCTCCTTGGACGTGGGGCACTTCATGTTTTCCTGTGTATGAAGCTAAGAAACCCAAAGTTCAGTGACAGCTCTAAGTGGGTAAGTACAGCCACTGCTGCTTACCTGATATTGCATGGGGATATTTAACTCATCTGCCAATCTTGATTTCTGGGTTTGATTCCTTGCCAGGAATTTAAAAAAAAATGGGCCCAAAGCCTGCTTTGAAAGAATTTTCTTTTGTTAAAAAAACAAGGAATTAGAAAGTAAACATGAGGTTTGGATCGAAATTTAAAATATATTCAACAACATGTAAACAGCTTTTCTTGATTGCTTCCTCATTTGACATTTTGGCCTGAAAACCAATAAAGTTTTTCCAAAACAACATATTTTGTTTACAAAATCAACGAGTATACAAGAGCTGCATGAGTTTCATCAGTGGTGGGCCACTATACTACACTATGCTACATGGCCAAAATAGTGTATTTTAGTGGCCAATTTTCTTTTCACCAATGCTTTAGCATCAGCAGCACTACACGGCTGTAGCACAGTGTAGTGAGGCCTTTTTTTTTTGGCCTTGCTCTGTTAGCATTAGCGCAAAACTGCTAATGGCTATGAAAAAAGTTGTTAGATGATGGCAATTTTTACGCTACACTATGTGTCAAGTTTTTGCCTGTAGTGTGCACTCCATGTCAGATATGTCAGAAATCTGTTCCTAAAAAATTCACATCGTGCTCTTCTCCGCAAACCTAACCACATCTCAAGATCAACCAAATGACCGTTAGGGTTTGATTTCTCAGCTCTATTAAAACTAAAATCGTCCTCTGTTTGCAATCCTCAACCTTGTCAAGATCCTCAACATTTTCAAGATTGCTTGTGTGCACCAGACAGATCCCTGACTACCCTAATACCTCTCTTCCTAAAGCCACCTTATTATTTGCTGCTTCACACTGTCTGTTTTTATTCCTTTTCTCTCTTTCTTCATTTCTTGTTGTTTGTCGACTCATTAACTAATCTCTCTATCATTGTTTCATATCTTCCTTCAGTCTCCTTCTAAAAAACTCCTTTGTCTCTCTTGAATAGTCATCTCTTCATCTTCTTCCATTTCATTAGCAGTATGCTGCTTTCTTCCTTTTCTTCTCTTTCACTTCTCTTTCTGATATTTTTGTTGATTTCTTTTTTGCCTTCAGACTGGTTTTTAGTTTCTCGGCAATTCATCAAGTTTTATTATTACTATGCTATATCAATGCTACCATTAGTGCAATGGTCCAACTGTTGGTTTCATGGAGTAAGTAGGGGCTACTGTGTGGGCTTTTGAATGCTGGATTGCATTTTCTTAACTGGCAGGTACCAGTTGGTCACTCCAATGGGGACATTGGTCTTGTATGAACACTGAATACAACCATCACTCCCACCTTTTATATGTGTGAAGTATACTCTTGGAAGTGCAGACCAGACTCTCCCAAACTCATGCAATTTTGAAGACCACCTTGGGAGGATGTAAGGTTGAGCAGTGGCAAGGCATGATTCTGGCCTATCCATTGGTGTCATCCCACCCCAAGAATCATTGCCAGAGAGGCCCTGCTATGTCCAGGCAAATTTCCTCCACCATATATCTGATGAGTTTCCATCATTTTACTTGCAATCCCCTCCTTTGACAGAGGCTTGCTTTGCAAGCAGCACTTGCACCTCCCAGGCTGTACCAGGCCCTCCAAATAAGGAGTGGCTCAGAAGGTGCTTTTGGGCACTCAGCATTCATATGCCCTTGTAAATACGAATGGCACAACTAAGAGCCAGGAGAGAGTTTGTTAGACACACAC